TAGCACTTCTTATTCCAATTAATGCCATTATTGGAATAAATGATATTAATTGTAACTAATAATGCAGCGTAGGTAAACGAACATTTTTAAATAGTCGCGACCTTCAAAAAAAAAAATATGTCCATTTATAACCAACTGAAGAAGTCGGCACTATTCTGTAGTTGGGTAGCTTATTGTAATGCTTCCAAATACACTCAAATGGATTTAACTATATCAATTTTAATTGCTTAAGAGGATTGTGAACGCTACTTGGTATATCACATCAATGGACTTACATAGAGATTTCAGTATTGAGAGCTTAGCTGCGTGGTTCCTTCTGGTGCATATTGCGGTCGGGTGTAATTACCTTTTGGTTACATCAATTTTGATTACCGAAATTAGTTCGATTAGACAAGGTATAATTCTGTTTGACAGCAATAAGTAATTTGTAATTTAAAAAATATATTCATCATCGCTTAAGTAAGTTTTGATTTGATACAGAGACAAATATATCTAAGATTTTTCAATCTAAATGTATTTTTTTGTTGTTTAGAAAATATATTAATTTTAATGCACTTTTTTAATGTATTTGTTTATATCCAATTTAGTTTAGTACAAAATTATTTTTAATAATAATTATAAAAATAATCTTAGATATACTCTATATTCAATTATAATAATAATAAGGCAATCATATTAAAAATATATAAAATAAATAAACAAACAAAAGCAGATTAAAATTAAAATATAATACATATGTTACATATAACACAGATATAATATTATATATATTATATAAATATATATTATACATATATAAAACAAGGATAATATTTCTAATACATAATACACATTTTAAAATTATATTTTATATATTTTTAAAATTACTTATATAAAATAAATTTTATTTATTATAAGACTTAAAATTTAATTAAAATTACTTATAAAAAATAATTTTTATTTATTATATGACTTCAAATTTAATTAAATTAATATTTTAAACAAACAATTATTTTAACTTTGACATTAGGATGTACCAAACTATTATTATTGCTGTGGAGTGTAACACTGTGACCATTGGGTCTATTGTGTCCCCTTTTGGTTGTAGAGTAAGTCTCTAAGCCCTGTTGCTTATATAAAAAGTGGTATCGAGTATAGGGTTTTATTGCCTCTTCCGTAAGGGTATATGGAAAAATCGCAGAGTATGTTTCTTCTCTTCGCAGAATCTATACAGTTTTCCAAACTATGATTATTGGATAATGTATATGAAAGCCCAACTATATAAAACTTAAAACGTTGGTTTTAAAAATTTTCGATTGCGCCACCCTAAATTATTTCTACTTTGCACGCAGTGAAAAGCATTTTATACTGTTTTATTTCTATTTATTGAAGAAAGAAAAAGCTTAAATGGCAACGAGCAATGCAAAAAGTCAAATAAGGCAAATTGCAAAATCGTAATTGAAAATATAAATTTTTGAAAAAAAAACCAATAAAATAAATGAGAAATAATGGTGTTAAAAGGAATTTTCACACTACAGAAAAAATTATATTAAAGTAAATAAAGTTATAGATTTTTCATAAAAATGTTTCAAATTATATTTCTTAAAATATATTTCCTTTGTTATTTGTGCTTTTTATAAATTAGATTTTCAATTTAAAGTTATTTAAAAATAATTTAATAAGTTTTTTCAAAAATATTTATTTGTGTTCATTATAATCTCTAAGTTTGTCCAATCCAGTAGCATTAAAAATTCCATAATACTTTCAATGCTATAATAAAAATAATATATTCTATAGTAAAAACAAAAATAATCAGACTCCGGTTTTTTTACGTTTATTACAATAAAATAAAACGTAGTTACATTCTAAAATAAAAATAATACTTCTGGATCAGATGTCATATAAGCACTATTTCCAACTATATAAAGAGGCTCTTTATAAAAGCAAACATTTTTGCTATAAGTTTAGAATCGACAACAAACCACATTTACACTTTCTTATCTTTTGTTCTCTGTTTTTTGATATTTATATATTACCACAGTCTAAATGACTTTTCAGACTATAACTGTTATATGAATTTCATATTTCAACAGTTTAAAAATAATTTTAAACAGTATAGATTAACAAGCATTGTAGAAGAAATACCAAATTCAATTCAAACTCGCAAAGGTTTGCTGATAGAACACATTGCACCACATTGATGTAGATAGAAATATTCGGAGAGGGGACAGGTGGTCTTGTATGTAATAGATGAGATAATGTATATATGTATGTATAAATATTACGAGGAGGGTCATGTATTTGGCAGGGATACCGTCGGGCGAATAAAAGAAGGTACTCTATAATTTCAACCCACGTATAGGCGAATGAATAAAAAAAATTCTTGACGTTTTACTTGCGTTTACAATTAATACAATCGGGAAGGACTTTGTGCTCAAATAGGTGCCATTTTTTATGTGAATATAACTTATAATAGATAAAACTAAAGTAACGGTACGTAAATAGGCCAAATAAATTGCTTATAACAATGAATCCACATATGAGTTGGTTATCACTGCGCAGAGCATTTTTGAATTTGATATGTGATACTTAGTGAATTTAAATGTGATACTTAGGATGTCATAATTTACGTTAGAAATAAAACTTTGATTGGGAGATAGCACAACACTATTGTACTTGAAATTGTTGATAAGTTCAATTTTCCTCTCAATATCAATCATAGAGGTATGAACATCCCCAGTTTGGTGTTCTGCCGGTCAGTGAGGGCAGTGACAGAGATCTTAGTGGCATTGAACTTAATTTTCTATAGGAAGCAAACCTTAGACATGTTAATCTCCAATATCAAATTAAAATATATAATGAAACTTACTTTTATGAACTTGAAAAAAAACATATATACTTTTTCACAAATCATAATATCATCTTCTGAAATATCCAAATATTTTTAAACAGCTGTGCCATAATTTATATACTATGCGGTATAGATTCATATAGATATTTTTCCAATATTTTTAAGCATTTCACTTTTACAACGATTTCAGTTTGATCATAGTTATGTTTATTATGAATAGCGACATTATATATTAGCTTTTCTTCCGACCTATCATTCTGAAAGATTTAATAGAATCCCTACAGCTGACACGCTACTTAGTCGCATATGTTTGCAGTATTTTTTATTAAACTTAGGGGGGATACGTGCTTTCGAAATCCTACTATGGTATGTAGTAAGCTTACACTATATGCTAGTTATTTTTTTGCCTTTACAATTGTTATCTCTCTAACAAGATATTTAAAAAAATGTAAGGGGTTATATTATCTTTTACATTATTTTGTTATTCAAAATAGTAATATCCATCTTTTTTCATATATGGTTAATATAATATAATGTATTAATATCAATATTAGTTGTCAAATATCGTAATGATCTCTCGACAATCATAAAAAATTGTAAGCAAAGATGAAGCTACCTCATAATCTTCTGAAATATAGACTTGTTCTATTTGAACAATTCTGGAAATTTTTTGAGTAACGTGATGATGAATTTAATTAACAATGTGATGTTTCTTTGAAATAGAAATTTTATATAATTTTATATTACATTACTTTTTATACACTTTTGTGAACTTAAAGGGAATTATAATTATATAATACAATTCTCATTTAGTTTACAAAAGTGTTTCTCTGTTAATTCAAAGTTCTTGATTCAGAGATAAAGCGAGAAGTTAATATAAAATTCATTTTAAATTACATTTTTAGTTTTATAGAATTTATTTCTAGATAAACTTTTGGGGAGTTTAAATGGGTTGTACACGAATTATATAGTAATCTCTAAAAAAATTGGGTTAAAACGTTATATTTGTTAAGTGATTCATTTACAAGTTGTTTAGGAGTAAAATAACACAAGCTAATAAAAGAACTTTTTGTACTGTGTGACTATTTTGCGATTTTAGGGAAACAATTTCAGTTAAATACTATCTTAATTGTTAAAATATTAGTGGATTCGTACTCTTTTTTTTTTCTTATAAAATAGTAGTAAAATTTATGTTTGTGCTTTAATAATACTTTTACGGCATTACCGAAAAAGTATTGAAAAGATGCATTCTGATGTGCAGCTTTCATTACTTTACCGATTTTCAAGTTATTGAAGTACTTTTAAATACCATTAAAGTATTTTAATTTAAGCAATTATTAAAAATTTTAAATAAGTACTGGAATTTATTTTATATTAAGTCAGCAAACAACTTAAGATTAATTTATTCTGATATCAAATTCAATATCTGCATATTCACTTCTAAAAGTGTTTCGTTTTTCCTAAATTTCAAATGAAATTCCTGTTTTGTTAATATAATAAAATTTAAGGTATTATTTAAAAAGCATTTTAATTTCAGTTTTTTCTTGAATTCCAAATATTCACGAATATTGCTCTAATTGCTAATTTTTGCGCAAACCATTGTAATTATTTTCTATGCGAGTGAATTTTGTGTTTGAAATCCAATTAAATTGAATTGCTAAACATTATTTTAATATTACTTTTTTATGTAAAATTTAATGGCTTTATTTTTGTAGAAACTTCTGTTTAAGAATTTTTTAAATGTAATATTACATAGAGAACGTGTGTGTATTTAAGTAGCAGGTATGTGTATGAATTCTGTTCACATTTATTTGAGCACCAAAATTTTATTCCTAAGTAGAAATATTTGAGGAATTTTGCTATTAGCAAGCAACCCGCGTATTCCATTTAGGGGCAATTTTTTTTTTACTTTACTTAGACTGCGACTTTAGAGGAAAGGAAGGCCCATGCCTAGCCTGCGTCAGCCTGCACTAATTTACAAAATGTAAGCATAACAGAGAAGAGAACAGAAGTAGCTGTTTAAACATTATTTAAGTTCATTTTACAATTTACAACTCTTCGCCTTGTGTTGCTTATGTACTAACAAAATAATTTTTGTCTTTCAAACTAAATTTCAACTTTCAAATTTATGCACAGACATTAAACAATTTAACATTTTGCACTATTTCAGAGCAATTCCTCTTCACTGTCGTCATCATTATCAACAATCGCAGCGGCACTTGAATTACACTGCAGTCAACGGCAGTAGACGTCATTATTTAACTTCTTGCAGACCAACTGAAACAGCGCCATTGGAAGCATTTGACTGCACCTACAACACTTACCGTTTGGTTGGCATTTTGCCATATTAACGGCGGAAATGATGATAGTACCGTGTTGTAGTTGTTGCTGCTGTTGCTACTGCTATATCTAAAGGTACTATATCAACTGAGCGCATTAAGCGCATTGGCCAACTTACAAAATAGCAAACACAAAAAAAAACAATTCAAAGAATTTTTTTCGCCCCGGGATTTGGTAGTCTGTACGCGTGCTGAGTGGCTGGCTACTGCCAGTGCTATTGCAGCAGTGATGCGGGGCCACAAACTGGCACGCAGTTTCTGCGAAACGTGGCTGCTCTTGGTGATTGTGATGAGCGGTAAGTATTGCCCTACAGTGTTACTTGCATGCTTGAATATGCATTGTTATTGCACTAATCCTTTATACTTAATTGTAAGGTCTTAACACTAATTAATTACACTCCTTTTAACTCGTTTTGTGAGTTACGTTTTGTCTCCTGGCAATTGTAAATTAGTTTTACAGTAAAATAACCGCTAATTGCAAAGAAGAAAAAGAAGAGACTATTTATTCCTTAAGTAAAATCAGGATAAGCTGCCATAATTTTGCATATAAAGTAAATTAGAACAGCACCCTTGAAAAAGGAATGTAATAAAAGTAAAAGCTTATTTGGCTGAAATATTTTCAAAATAATTATTTCGAAATTTAATTTATTGGAAAGCTTGAAAAAGTTACTGTAAATTTTTATTTCCTTTTCAAAGCATATGCGGGTACTTAGTTGACCATTATAGACGTTAGTCATCCAAAGTAGCGTTCAATAACGTCTTCCATCCTGCCCAATTAGTGGTTCGCTCTCACTAGTTGGTAGTACCAATTGCTTTCAATTTTAACAATTAATATTTAAATTTAACATTTAAACATATTTAATATTAGTTGTAGAAAATTTACTTAAATCGTAATATAGGTGCATTTCCAAAGTTTTAGGTTTTAGTTAAGTTTTAAGAAATCTATGTATTATAAGATATAATAATGTAATTAACTCCGAAGTTTAAAAATCTCTAATTAATATTGTTGCATAAATTTATTTATTCTTTGTTTTTTTTTTAAAGACCCACAAAAAAAATTGAATATTATTTATTGAACATTAAAAACATTCAATAGTTTTGTAATAATTTTTCTTAAAAGACTATTGACTAAAGTCCGTTTATTATAAAATGCCTTCTATAGACTAATTATAGAGACTATATATAGACTATTTATGTTAAAAAAAATTTTATTGTGATTCAATATAATCTAAAAAGAAAATGTTATATATCATCTATTGTATAAATTTAAAAATATCCAAAGACGAACTTAGCACCTATATTTTGTATATATTTATATATTTTGTTTTAAAACAGGTGCAGTAAAAAGCAATCCATTCTTTGTGTATAAAATCAATGGCCTAAACTATTATAGTTTGAATTATCCAATTTAGGTCAAATATACGTCGTTTTGTTCAATAATTTGTTTCCATTTTGAAGCTAATTTTATTACGCCTTTCTCATGGAAGTTGTCGTCACTATTGGTAAAAAATTGAGACGGTCGATTTTCACAAGTCTCTCTTGAAGAGAATTTTTTACCAGAAACAACGTCCATCGTTCGCCAAGGACAGGAACAGATGGTAATCACTTGGTACCAGGTTTCAAACACAAGTTGGATGCATAAGAACTTCTCAATCAAGTTCCAGGTACTTTTAGGGATTACACATTATTAGCGGTGTGCATGGTCTGGCGTTGCTTTGATAAAACACAATTTCTTTCCCATTGCCCAAAGCCGGCTGTTTCTATGCAACTGGGCGAATGCTTCCTCCAGACGGTCTAATTGTTGATAATACAGCTCTAAGTTAAGAGTGTTGTTGTAAGAGAGTAGCTCATAGAGATAATTACCTATTTTAGCAAACATGTACCAAAATCTTCCTGGCCATCAATTCTGGCCTGGCCACCGTTTCAGTCGGTTTCGACACATAACGTACCAACCATAGCTGCTTTCGGTTTACCTATTCGTAAATGATTCTAACCCACTTTTCATCACTAGTAACTAACCGTTTAAGAAATGGAACGATTTTGTTGCGATTCACCAGCGATTCGCAGATGGAAGTTCGGTGTTTGAGGCTTCATGGTAGAGGCTTCATAGCAAATAAAGAAGACTTTTCTTTCACACTTTTTTATTCATACGGTATAGAGGACCA